TTTATAACAAAAATACTAATATCAATATTGATAGCATTAGTAAAAAAAGTGCTTTCTTACTATTTCAAGGAAAGGTGAGGTCACAAGATCTACTAATTGATGGCTTTGTGGCTATACACTGGCAGAGCTATCTATGTGCAGAAACATTTAACAAAACAATACTAAAGTGAACGCAACAATTTCCCGGCGGAAATGGGTTAATAATTGATCATGAATGCATGAAGTTAAGAAAAACACAATCCAAAAATAAGTTTTATTTAAAAAGAAATATTCCTCTTAAAACTATCACACTTCAAATCTTGCACTTTTCATCCATTAAAAAAGAAGTGGGAGAGAAAGGTAGCTTCACATATTTTCACTTCTCAAAATTTCCTCAATCAGCCTCTTTCTCTCCTCTTCTCGCCTTCGATTCATGTCTGCCACAGACTCAAAATCGAAGCCTTTCGCTTTGGGCTCTGGTTCTTTGCTCTTCGATGCAGATTCCTTGGGTGGTTTTTCGGAGACATGTGAAACTTCGACAGGTTTTCCGATCTGGCCTTTCTCAAATTGGACTGCCATATCCTGCGAAAAAGGCAAACAGCATTAATGTTAGACAAAGGAATTACATCAAGAGGTACACCCACAAAACTTTGAGATCATAGCATCGAAAGATACCACATATAAAGAAGCTCTTAATCCAAGATCTGCATATTAAGAAAACTCATGGTGACACAAAATGCTTATATAGCACTCCAAAATCCCTAAAGTTAATTCCATATGTCGCATCTAACAGGTCAGAATAAGATAATAATGGGACTGCACTTACCGCTCCTTGCTTGGTCTTGTAGTCTATCATTGCTGTTCCTTTCTTTGACTTCTGCTTCATCACCATTGCATTGATATCTCCCCACTGTTAGCAAAAAATAAATGTAATTATCAAACAAATATTCTTCTAAATTTCTTTTCATAAGAAGAAATCTCTTTATCATAAGTATTTATCTAATGATTCTTTAAAATATCCACATATGTATTCAGGATACATAAACACATCTCTATCTCCATTTTTCTTTATAGATCTGTGAATCTGTAATTCATGTATAAACACAGATTACACCGTACCTTATAAAAGAGTTGATGAATTTCTTGCTCGGTGTAGCCTGGCCAGTCATCCGTTGCTAGCCATTTCACCTTGACCTTGTAACCATTTTGCTCGGGCTCTGCAGTCGACTTGGATGCAGCTGAAATTGAATGCAGATTTAACTATCATTTCTTGCAACATATGAGATTTCTGTAAAATCTGTAAGCGTTAAAGGATGATATATGCCTGATGTTATGATAGCAGTTATTTTCAGGTACGTCAACACACTGCAGGACACATGCTAGAAGTCACAGAAATCTCAATAAGAGCACTTTAAGCTGAGATAACTGTGTATTACAATGGTAAAGAAAAAAAATCCTGTCTCGTCTAAAGTGATAATCTGAACTCTACAGACCTTTTTGGCTTAAAATTCTTAAAAAAAAACAAAAAACTTCCAACCCTTGTTTATATCATTCTGTACTAAAGAAGAATACAAGAAAACTAAAAAAGAAAACAAACAATCATGTAAATAATAACAATTATAATGACTAGAATAACAATAGCAATAATAATAATAATAATAATAATAATAATAATAATAATAATAATAACAACAATAATAATCACAATAGCAATAATTAACAATAATCAAACAATAACAATAAAATATATAATTAACAACATTAACAATAACATTATAATAATAATTAATAATAATATAATAATATAATGATAATAATATAATAACAATAATATAAGAATAATAATAATATAATAAATAATAATAATGATAATAGATAAACAATTAATAATAATAATAATAATAATAATAATAATATAATAATAATAATATAATAATAATAACAATAACATAATGATAATGATAATAATAATAATGATAATAAAAAACAACAATAATAGTAACAAGATTAATAATAAAAATATAAATAATAAAATAATAATAATAATATAATATAATAATAATAATAATAATAAAATAATATAATAAAATAATAATAATAATAATAATAACAATAATAATAATGATAAAATAATAATATAATAATGACAATAAAACAATAATACATTAATAATAATAATATATAACAATACAAATAATTATAATACCATAATAATATAATAATATAATAATAATATATAATAATAATAATAATAATAATAATAATAATAATAATATAATAATAATAATAATAATATAATAATAATAATAATAATAAATAATAATAATAGTAATAATGATATGATGAATAACAATAATATAATAATAATAATAATATAATAATAAATAAATAATAATAATAATAATAATAATAATAATAATAATAATAATAATAATAATAATAATAATAATAATAATAACAATAACAATGATGACCATAATAATAACAAAAATAATAGCAATAATAACGATAACACCAAAAA